AACACCTCGGCCCGGCGGCGCAGGGGACAGGGCGGGTGTCCCCACACACACACTCTGTGGGTGCTTCCACTCGCGGGAGGAAACCCCGCTGGGTTCGGGGTTCTGCTTGGAGAGTGATGGACAAACGTGCCCCAAAAATTAGGAATTTGGGGTGCCCAAATCTGGGCAGCTGGGCGGGACAGGATTATTGTAGGGAGGCAGCTGGGCACGGGGCTGGCTGTGGGATTGTGGGCACAAAGCCAGCAGGTTTTGGGATGAGATAACAGATTTTAGGATTAGGTCGAGATAGGAATGACCAATCATCCCAAGCCTTTGGGGTTGGAATTCTCCCTTCTACAGGAAATATGGTGGGTGGTTCCATTCCTGGTGGGATCCCCCAGGAAGAACTTCTTTACCCCAGAATCACTGAAATTAGAAATACCTTTTTCTGGAAGAGCCAAAGGATTCCTTAGGGAAAGGTGCCAGTCAGGAGAGGGGAAAACCCTCTGTGTGTACTCCCCACTCCTGGGGGTTTGGGTGACAGCAGGATTTGGGCAGAGCCAAAGAAGCTTCTGCCTTCCTTTATCTGAATTACTGGGAGCAATTCCGAGCCAGGCCAGTGCAAGGAGAGCTGGCAGCAGCCAGCTGGGAGCCAGAGGGTGATAAGGTGCTTTGGGATGATGGATGAGATCTGGCTGCCTCCCAGATTTCAGTATCTCCTCAAATTCAATATTAAAATGTTATGTATAGCTCTGCTCTCATTTCCTCTTTTTTCCTTCCTATCTTTTTTCCCCAGGAAAGAGCCACATAAGTGTCAGAGCCAGAGCTGGGCAGGCTACCAGAACTCTAGCTAGTTCTTTAATTTCTGGAAAGATCTGGATTTTATATCCATATCATTCCCTGCATAACCACAGAGCACGCATGCCCAGCAGAGGTCCAGGGGGGTCATGGATTATGGGAATTCTGTCAAAATCCAACCCAGCTGGGTGAAATGTGCCCTTGGTGCATTGGGCAACAGGTTTGCACTGGGACAGGAGAGCAATAAGCAAACATTCCAGCTGTTCCAGGACTTGGGGAAGAGGCTGGGAATGATGAAAACAAGCTGATGTTTAACCCGTGGGGGGAGGTATCCCACAAGGAACTCCTGATGGACATACTGGGATCTGTGGGATGTGCTTTAGGAACAGGAGACCAACAGCCTGTGGGGTTTCTTGTATGTCACCAAACCCAACTAACATGTCACTGACAATGTCAATAATAACAATGAACAGCAATAATAATTATAACAACAACAACAATTAATAATTAATAACACAGCAATAATAACGGATATGCAGCACCTCTGCCTGTTCTGATCTCAGGAAATGGAACTTCTCCAATTATGAAGGAATTTAAATCCCCTGTGTTCTGAGATAATAACAGCAGAAAAAGAGATTTTTCCCAAAAAATGTTGGAAATGCTGAACATTCTGCTTCAGGGGGATGTTTGGTCAGACTGTGGGGTGGGAGTGGGAATGCTCTGCAGGGCCCTGCTGTCTGGCTCCTGCTCCACCATTCCCAGTCCTCACCTCCCTCTGTTATTTCCTGGTCCTTTATCTCCCTGCTATTAATTTCCGTTTTCTTTGTCTCCCTTATCCATCATCTCCCTGTCCATCATCTCCTGGTTCATTGCCTCCCCGCTCATCATCTCCTGTCCTACACGTCCCTGCATCTCATCTCCTGCTCCATCCTCTCCCTGCTCACCTTCTGTCCCCTCCCGCTCCATCCC